GTAGATTGTGTATCAGACTCTACTGGACAACACCTGTCTGATGTATCACCTTGTAGATTGTGTGTCAGACTCTACTGGACAACACCTGTCTGATGTATCACCTTGTAGATTGTGTATCACACTCTACTGGACAACACCTGTCTGATGTATCACCTTGTAGATTGTGTATCAGACTCTACTGGACAACACCTGTCTGATGTATCACCTTGTAGATTGTGTTTCAGACTCTACTGGACAACACCTGTCTGATGTATCACCTTGTAGATTGTGTATCACACTCTACTGGACAACACCTGTCTGATGTATGACCTTGTAGATTGTGTATCACACTCTACTGGACAACACCTGTCTGATGTATCACCTTGTAGATTGTGTATCAGACTCTACTGGACAACACCTGTCTGATGTATCACCTTGTAGATTGTGTATCAGACTCCACTGGACAGCACCTGTCTGATGTATCACCTTGTAGATTGTGTGTCAGACTCTACTGGACTGCATCTGTCTGTTGTATCACCTTGTAGATTGTGTGTCAGACTCTACTGGACAGCACCTGTCTGATGTATCACCTTGTAGATTGTGTATCACACTCTACTGGATAACACCTGTCTGACGTATCACATTGTAGATTGTGTATCAGACTCTACTGGACAACACCTGCCTGATGTATCACCTTGTAGATTGTGTATCAGACTCTACTGGACAACAGTTGTCTGATGTATCACCTTTTAGATTGTGTATCATACTCTACTGGACAACACCTGTCTGATGTATCACCTTGTAGATTGTGTGAGACTCTACTGGAGAACACCTGTCTGATGTATCACCTTGTAGATTTTGTATCACACTCTACTGGACAACAGCTGTCTGATGTATCACCTTGTATATTGTGTATCAGACTCTACTGGACAACACCTGTCTGATGTATCACCTTGTAGATTGTGTTTCAGACTCTACTGGACAACACCTGTCTGATGTATCACCTTGTAGATTGTGTATCACACTCTACTGGACAACACCTGTCTGATGTATCACCTTGTAGATTGTGTATCACACTCTACTGGACAACACCTGTCTGATGTATCACCTTGTAGATTGTGTATCACTCTCTACTGGACAACACCTGTCTGATGTATCACCATGTAGATTGTGTATCAGACTCTACTGGATAAAACCTGTCTGATGTATCACCTTGTAGATTGTGTATCAGACTCTACTGGACAACACCTGTCTGATGTATCACCTTGTAGATTGTGTATCACACTCTACTGGACAGCACCTGTCTGATGTATCACCTTTAAGATTGTGTGTCAGACTCTACTGGACAGCAGCTGTCTGTTGTATCACCTTGTAGATTGTGTGTCAGACTCTACTGGACAGCACCTGTCTGATGTATCACCTTGTAGATTGTGTATCACACTCTACTGGACAACACCTGTCTGACGTATTACCTTGTAGATTGTGTATCACACTCTACTGGACAACACCTGTCTGATGTATCACCTTGTAGATTGTGTATCACACTCTACTGGACAACACCTGCCTGATGTATCACCTTGTAGATTGTGTATCAGACTCTACTGTACAACACCTGTCTGATGTATCACCTTGTAGATTGTGTATCATCACTCTACTGGACAACACCTGTCTGATGTATCACCTTGTAGATTGTGTATCACACTCTACTGTATAAAACCTGTCTGATGTATCACCTTTTAGATTGTGTATCACACTCTACTGGACAACACCTGTCTGATGTATCACCATGTAGATTGTGTATCAGACTCTACTGGATAAAACCTGTCTGATGTATCACCTTGTAGATTGTGTATCACACTCTACTGGACAACACCTGTCTGATGTATCACCTTGTAGATTGTGTATCAGACTCTACTGGTCAATACCTGACTGATGTATCACCTTGTAGATTGTGTATCAGACTCTACTGGACAACAGTTGTCTGATGTATCACCTTGTAGATTGTGTGTCAGACTCTACTGGACAACACCTGTCTGATGTATCACCTTGTAGATTGTGTGTCATACTCTACTGGACAGCACCTGTCTGATGTATCACCTTGTAGATTGTGTGTCAGACTCTACTGGACAGCACCTGTCTGATGTATCACCTTGTAGATTGTGTATCACACTCTACTGGACAACACCTGTCTGATGTATCACCTTGTAGATTGTGTGTCAGACTCTACTGGACAGCACCTGTCTGATGTATCACCTTGTAGATTGTGTGTCAGACTCTACTGGACAACACCTGTCTGATGTATCACCTTGTAGATTGTGTTTCAGACTCTACTGGACAACACCTGTCTGATGTATCACCTTGTAGATTGTGTATCACACTCTACTGGACAACAGTTGTCTGATGTATCACCTTTTAGATTGTGTATCACACTCTACTGGACAACACCTGTCTGATTTATCACCTTGTAGATTGTGTATCACTCTCTACTGGACAACACCTGTCTGATGTATCACCATGTAGATTGTGTATCAGACTCTACTGGATAAAACCTGTCTGATGTATCACCTTGTAGATTGTGTATCAGACTCTACTGGACAACACCTGTCTGATGTATCACCTTGTAGATTGTGTATCACACTCTACTGGACAACACCTGTCTGATGTATCACCTTGTAGATTGTGTGTCAGACTCTACTGGACAACACCTGTCTGATGTATCACCTTGTAGATTGTGTGTCACACTCTACTGGACAACACCTGTCTGATGTATCACCTTGTAGATTGTGTATCACACTCTACTGGACAACACCTGTCTGATGTATCACCTTGTAGATTGTGTATCAGACTCTACTGGACAACACCTGTCTGATGTATCACCTTGTATATTGTGTATCACACTCTACTGGACAACACCTGTCTGATGTATCACCTTGTAGATTGTGTGTCAAACTCTACTGGACAGCACCTGTCTGATGTATCACCTTGTAGATTGTGTGTCAGACTCTACTGGATAAAACCTGTCGGATGTATCACCTTTTAGATTGTGTATCACACTCTACTGGAGAACACCTGTCTGATGTATCACCTTGTAGATTGTGTATCACACTCTACTGGATAAAATCTGTCTGATGTATCACCTTGTAGATTGTGTATCACACTCTACTGGAGAACACCTGTCTGATGTATCACCATGTAGATTGTGTATCACACTCTACTGGACAACACCTGTCTGATGTATCACCCTGTAGATTGTGTATCAGACTCTACTGGATAAAACCTGTCGGATGTATCACCATGTAGATTGTGTATCAGACTCTACTGGACAACACCTTCCTGATGTATCACCATGTAGATTGTGTATCAGACTCTACTGGATAAAACCTGTCTGATGTATCACCTTTTAGATTGTGTGTCACACTCTACTGGAGAACACCTGTCTGATGTATCACCTTGTAGATTGTGTATCAGACTCTACTGGACAACACCTGCCTGATGTATCACCATGTAGATTGTGTATCACACTCTACTGGACAACACCTGTCTGATGTATCACCTTGTAGATTGTGTATCAGACTCTACTGGTCAACACATGTCCCCTGTATTACCTTTTAGATTGTGTATCAGACTCTACTGGACAACAGCTGTCTGATGTATCACCTTGTAGATTGTGTATCAGACTCTACTGGACAACACCTGTCTGATGTATCACCTTGTAGATTGTGTATCACACTCTACTGGACAGCACCTGTCTGATGTATCACCTTGTAGATTGTGTGTCAGACTCTACTGGACAACACCTGTCTGTTGTATCACCTTGTAGATTGTGTGTCACACTCTACTGGACAGCACCTGTCTGATGTATCACCTTGTAGATTGTGTATCACACTCTACTGGACAACACCTGTCTGACGTATCACCTTGTAGATTGTGTATCAGACTCTACTGGACAACACCTGTCTGATGTATCACCTTGTATATTGTGTATCACACTCTACTGGACAACACCTGTCTGATGTATCACCTTGTAGATTGTGTGTCAAACTCTACTGGACAGCACCTGTCTGATGTATCACCTTGTAGATTGTGTGTCAGACTCTACTGGATAAAACCTGTCGGATGTATCACCTTTTAGATTGTGTATCACACTCTACTGGAGAACACCTGTCTGATGTATCACCTTGTAGATTGTGTATGAGACTCTACTGGATAAAATCTGTCTGATGTATCACCTTGTAGATTGTGTATCACACTCTACTGGAGAACACCTGTCTGATGTATCACCATGTAGATTGTGTATCACACTCTACTGGACAACACCTGTCTGATGTATCACCTTGTAGATTGTGTATCAGACTCTACTGGATAAAACCTGTCGGATGTATCACCTTTTAGATTGTGTATCAGACTCTACTGGACAACACCTTTCTGATGTATCACCTTGTAGATTGTGTATCAGACTCTACTGGACAACACCTGCCTGATGTATCACCATGTAGATTGTGTATCAGACTCTACTGGACAACACCTGTCTGATGTATCACCTTGTAGATTGTGTATCAGACTCTACTGGTCAACACATGTCCCCTGTATTACCTTTTAGATTGTGTATCAGACTCTACTGGACAACAGCTGTCTGATGTATCACCTTGTAGATTGTGTATCAGACTCTACTGGACAACACCTGTCTGATGTATCACCATGTAGATTGTGTATCAGACTCTACTGGACAACACCTTTCTGATGTATCACCTTGTAGATTGTGTATCAGACTCTACTGGATAAAACCTGTCGGATGTATCACCTTTTAGATTGTGTATCACACTCTACTGGAGAACACCTGTCTGATGTATCACCTTGTAGATTGTGTATCAGACTCTACTGGAAAACACCTGCCTGATGTATCACCATGTAGATTGTGTATCAGACTCTACTGGACAACACCTGTCTGATGTATCACCTTGTAGATTGTGTATCAGACTCTACTGGTCAACACATGTCCCCTGTATTACCTTTTAGATTATGTATCAGACTCTACTGGACAACAGCTGTCTGATGTATCACCTTGTAGATTGTGTATCAGACTCTACTGGACAACACCTGTCTGATGTATCACCATGTAGATTGTGTATCAGACTCTACTGGATAAAACCTGTCGGATGTATCACCTGTTAGATTGTGTATCAGACTCTACTGGACAACACCTGTCTGATGTATCACCTTGTATATTGTGTATCAGACTCTACTGGACAGCACCTGTCTGACGTATCACCTTGTAGATTGTTGATTAGGGTCATAGTGTAAATCGAAATATGCTGTTCAAAGAATTGTTACTGGTTCCACTACTACTATGAGTGGCATTTCATGTTCCACTACATACGGTAGTGTATGTACAACGCCACGTCTAATGGATAACCTCTTCACGTTGTGTATTGTGTCTAGTTTAGTAGATGCCTACATTCAGTCTAGCCTTGATTCAGTGTGTAGTACCGTGCAGTAAAATGTCTCGGCAGTGAAAAATGCTTACGGTTTTTCTGTCCTGATCATTCTTCTGTGAATCCCTGCGGCTGTTGTTGCTCATCTTAGGTCTTTTAATCTGAAATCGTAAAAAAATTCTCAAATACGTTTCTGTTCATGAGGTGGACAATGTAGCTATATAAACCAATACTTCGTGTTTCAATGATTTATGTCCATTCGGATCGAAGATAATTACATTGCGGCTTGTCTGTTAACGCTTGTACAACCTTACGATGAGATTATCTAGGCAGTCAAAAGCGTTGTTGCGTAAGCAAAAGGAATCTACGCGCACTTGTTAGGTCAATATATCTTGAAAGACAATAGGTGTTTCATCAGAAACAGACTGAAGCATGTGTTAAATCTTAAAATATCATCCTGTCTTTCTCTTTCTGACAACGAAAGCAAAAACTTATACATATATGACATATTACATGATAATGTGCCTTGGATTGTATCATGGTACAAAAAGGAATACGTAGTTTCTAGTCTTGTTACAAATGATTAGGTAATGTTCAAATTTTAAACCGTCGTCTCTAAACCGATGAACTGGCTAGAAAGACTGACCAGCGACGTCAAAACCACAGATAAAAAGTGGTACAGCTTGTTCAGCTTGACCTGTTCAAGTGAATGCCAGTGCATTGCGTGACCCTGTCACAACTGGTTGGGTCTATTATTGTGAAGGGGTGCACCTTTGTCAGTTGATTGTCAACATGTCTGAACAGCCAAGACAAGGTCGCCGTTTGACATCTCAGTGTCGAGAAATCGTCAGCAATGTCCTAACTTTCTTAAAAAAAGAAGCTACAGATGGTTTAATGTTTCCGATTTGGGCTTTTAGGCAGCAGCAGCAACTAATCCGTGTATGCATGCCTCGCACGAACGCAACATTAATAACAATCTCTGCTCGACTATTTAATGAAGTTAACTCGACCTGCTGTTTGTGCCATTTGACCTCCCGTGCCATGCATATTTAGAGTATCTGAGATCCATCTGAACAAGCTGTACGCTCGTCCATATCGCAGGTCTTGTGCATCAACAGTTTTCCTATTCATACCAACAGGTTTCCTATTCATACCAACAGATTTCCTATTCATAACAACAGATTTCCTATTCATACCAATAGATTTCGTATTCGTACCTACAGATTTCCTATTCATACCAACAGATTTCCTATTCATGCCAACAGATTTCCTATTCATACCAACAGATTTCCTATTCATACCAACAGATTTCCTATTCATACCAACAGATTTCCTATTCATACCAACAGATTTCCTATTCATACCAACAGTTTTCCTATTCATACCAACAGATTTCGTATTCGTACCAACAGATTTCCTATTCATACTAACAGTTTTCCTATTCATACCAACAGATTTCCTATTCATGCCAACAGATTTCCTATTCATACCAACAGATTTCCTATTCATGACAACAGATTCCCTATTCATACCAACAGATTTCCTATTCATACCAACAGTTTTCCTTTTCATACTAACAGATTTCTTATTTGTACCAACATTTTCTCCAATTCATACCGGGGCGGTGGGGTAGCCTAATGGTTTAAGCGTTGGCTCGTCACGGCGAAGACCCGGGTTCGAATCCCCACATGGATACAATGTGTGAAGCCCATTTCTGGTGTCCCCCGCCGTGATGTTGCTGGAATATTGCTAAAAGCGGCTAACATTTTCCTACTAACATTTTCTCCAATTCATACCAACAGTTTTCCTATTCATGCCAACAGATTTCCTATTCATGCCAACAGATTTCGTATTCGTACCAACAATTTCTCCTTCGTACCAACAGATTTCAGATTTACTATTCATATCAACAGTTTTCCTATTCACCCCAACAGATATCCTATTCATACCAACATATATACAGTATAGATACAATACAGGAATGTGATGTGTTTACACGAAACTGTCAAGTTTCTGTGCTGCGTGACGCCATGACTGACGCAAAATCACGGAGAACGACAACGGTAATAATCGGCATTTCTGGCTTCTTCTCTTTCTTAAAATGGGAGTGTATTTGGCAATTTCTCTGAGGTGAAGGTCGGTAGAATAAGAGTATACATGTTGTAAGGGGGTTGGAATAGCCCTAAAATGACGTCATCATCGAACACCTGGCTGACCTCGTTTCAAAGGGGTGTCAATGACCGTGGGATCCGGCGTCACATCATAGCATCACACCATGACATCATGCCACTATTTTGGACCAATCAGCATTCAGCCAATTCACTCCGGTGTGACTCACCCTGACCAAGGGGTCTATGACCGTGCGCCCCCGTGGGAAACACATCATAGCATCACACCATGACATCACGCCATTTATTTAGGCCAATCAGCGTAGAACAACTATCGGACTGACTGGACCACTGACCACAAACTAGTTTCATCCGGTTTCAATCTTACCTATATAAACCCCCCTCTGACAGTTAGTTGAAGTTATCATTTTGTCCTCTTACAAAATGTTTATATTTTCCATACTCAATAACCTTGTGGCCTGTGGAGAAAATCTGTTATCTCAGAGCGCGCGCCGTTGAGGCATGGTGAATTAACACTCGCAGCCTCCACACACTTCCCTCGTCTCACTCAGCCGAGGTGTAATATGATACCTCCTCAAGTTGTACTCAAAATCGTGGGTCTAACATAAGCCTGTCTCACGGTCCCTGAACCATATTATTTTGCCTACAGTAGCCATCCCTGCAGTGCTAAGGCTCTAAATGAAGTCTAGATTTCCCCCCAGGTCTGCCTTGGGCTCCTTGTCAATTTAAATAGGTTTGTTTGTTACTATCAAGATAATGCATTCAGAGACTAAACATTAGTCTAGTCTAACATGTGCACACATATGTGTAAAAGAAATGATACGGGTTCAGTTCACGGGTTTTATAACACTTTTGTTCAATGCAATCAGCGTTCATGAAAATGGTTTGAGTTTGTCTTGACCATCACCAAAACAACCCAACTCAATAGATTTTCAAATGTATTTCAAACTTACCGGTATTCACATTCCATATTTGAATATCCAATCCATATTGTCATTGTATCCTGCTTTGTAATGCGATAAAATTAGGAATCAGGGATGATATTGAGATGTTATACCCAAATCCCATATGTTTGTGATTGTATTAAATGAATCAACCACCAAAACACATGAGACTAATATTGCACCTTCCATGTAAATAGAACATATGGTATATCTGGGATTGTGTCGTGCAACAGACTCTCCCTCTCACAGTGCTAGCAGAGACGCGATCTGGTGACCCACATTTGCGTGTGTGGGACTATGCTTGGCGGGAGGGGTAGAGGAGGGACGGGGGCACTGCTGTGGCAGAGGGAGGGAGTTTCTGTCGACAGTTATAGCCTGACGACATTCCTCGCGAGTGTAAAACACCCATAAATAAAAATGCTTGTTAGAATGAACGCTAGCTAGGGCGTGTCAGCAACTTTCAACTTTCTAAAATTCCATCAGGAATGGGGTGTAATTGTATAGTGTTAGCATGAAAGAGTAATCATAAATGACAACGCACAGGTGTATATTATTTTTATATGGGTATTTATATAGCACTATAGTCCATACCGCATGCATGCTCAAAGGGCTGGTAACTTTTTCCTTGGATGTCAATCACAGCCATATTACCATTCTCAACTCCCCGGGGAGCATCTTGCTGCCACTAGGCGCACTAAGTTAATGTGACTCCCAACGAGGTATACATGACAAAAAAAACAAGATAAACTGATTTCATTTTTTTATTAGCTCCGTTTCAAACGAGTACAACTACGGGATAGGAGCGCTCCCAGAAGTCTACTTTACATCTGTTGTCTTATCACCGTTCCTAATCGTCATGGCCTTCACTCTCTTCATCAGATGTTATGTCTGCATTATCATCTTCGGTCAAGCCTTCGACCCAAGACTTATATTGGTACAGATTGGAAAACACATCATGATACAGATTATTTGTGTCTCCTACTTGTTTCAGTATTCCTTGTGTCTTTGGACCATACTGCATATGGTACAGATAAGTAATAAACCGGGCATACGTCTCTTTAAACGTGCTCCACATGGATTTGTTCAGTTTGGCTTGAATCGTGTCTTCGTTTAAACCTCTTTTCATGTACAACTGTCGTTTCTCATCCAAAAAGTCTTTATTCAGCTCACGTGTACGTGAATACATTTGTCTTATACCTTGCTCTTCGAGATCAGCCATCTTTTTTTCCCTGTTGTTTTGTGTGACATCGTTTAATGATTCATCATCATCATTTTCCATTTCAGGACATTGTTTATCGTGTAAATGTCTTTGTAAGTTGTGGTTATTGCTAAACACTTGACCACAATAGTCACAATCTGACAGTGTACGTGGTGCCTTCACAAGAGAGAAGTTGTCGTCTTCCTCCCTCTTCCTTTTAACTTGGGGTATTCCCGGTGGACCCACTGAAGACTTTACAGGACACCAGTTTCTTCTGTGTTTTTGCAAATCATGCACGTCTTGAAACATGAGTCCACAGTCATCACAAGATGGCATGGTTGGGAGGTTTTCTTCACACGTCTGCTCACGCCGAAAGTCTAACTCGGACTGAATGGTCCTAGCTTGGATGTCTCCTTTTAAGCTGAATGCATTGGGGCAAAGTCGCAAATGGGGAGGTGTTTGGGGTTTTAGATCAACCAACAAGTAACCATATGGTTTCTGGATCGCCCTTTGAAACGGCTCCATGAAACGGTCTGTGTTACCTGGATACATTTGCCTCGCCAAAGTCATGATGGGTTGTTGATCGATAGGGTTGTTGAACAGAAGCAGATAATGGCAGTTTCTTCGTTGTGTGGGATCCTTACTGAAATACAAATTCTGGTTCAAGGCTATCACTGAGAGATTACGATGATGACTTCCTTCCGTAAACAGATCTGTAATGCGTGGATCTTTGCTCGCTGTCGACATTAAATCGTCGAGGATCACCACATTCACCACATGGGGTCCAGAAACGCATCCTTTCGAGATCAGAAGGAATGCCTTGATGAAATTCCACATAGGGATAAACATGGGTTTGAATGGTGTTATACAAGGGCTGCCATCGTTTGTAG